GCCGGCGGCGGCAGGACCCCGGGCTCCGAGGCTCACAACGTCTGCCGCCTGCTCATGCGCAGGGCTCACGGCTTTTATACCAGAGATGCCGGTGCCGCCCACAGGAAGAAGCTGGGCCTCCTCAGGAAGATAATATGCCAGGTAACAGCGGCGTGTTCGGCGCTGGCCGAACCCTGCGGGTCCCCGGGCTGGCATCCGGGGCGGTCCCAGCGTCAGTCCTCCCCCCGGGTGCTTGAGAAGTCCCCGAGTCACACCGACTGACAAGTTTTAAGAGGAAAAAAGCTGAAATTCTGCTGAAGATTGTGCTGAAGAGAGTTAGAAATGGTTACATTTCTTTCATGAGGCTCAGACCTAGAAGTGTAGAGAGTACTACGCTGTGGAGAAGCAGCAGAAGCACTTGTAAATCTAATAATCATGCTGGAATTAGCCCTTTGTGAGATTTTATATCACTTATTTCTTCCCCTAAGATAGGTTGATATTTAATACCAATAGAAAATCATGGTGCTCTACGGAGCATCAATGTTAAATTTGAATTAAGTTCTCACAATAAGATAAGATAATCAGCAGACATCTTCAGGTAAACATGCCCCTAGTGTGTCAGTGAAGTTTATGTTACAGAAAAAAATAGGAATTAAACCAATTCCAGACTAAAGTGAACTTGTTTTATTTTTTTTTTAATCAAAATGATTACTGCTCCCATGCAGTAGTTGATAGCAATGCATTGAAAGTGAGTATGTGGAAGTTAATTGGCAATGCTGTCCATAAGAGCTAATAAAAAGATCTTTTAATTTTTTTAAAGACAAAATTTCCCTAAAAAAGGTCTTAATTTGGTTTAGAAATAAATAATATTTTTTTTATGTATTCAACAGCAAAGGTTCAATTAAAGTAAGCTTAATAAGCTGCAAGAACCAAATACTTTCCAAAAGCAATGTTTTTTACAAAAGCTGTCACTGTTACAACTTCTATCTGTTTCAGGAAGGTACTAAATTCAAGAACGTTTGGACAACTCATTCTGCATCTCCTATTGCATATGAAAGAGGAAGAATTTACTTAGACAATTACCAGTGTTGCATTAGCAGGTAATAAATTTACAGTTAAAAATTACCCTGGCTTACAGTTTTAACACAGATTCTGTTTTAGATGTGTCGCTAACTTTACTCATCTAAATAGCCCCTGTATATTGAGTGGAATTTTCTTATGAACAAAAAATAACCAGGTGCATAAATCTTTGTTAAAGTACACTCAGATGCCGTTCTGTCTTAATGGGACACCTGCTTTGGTGAAGAAAAGCCTGATCTTCCTGGTGTTGTATAACTTCAGCTTTCGGAGCACTTTAATAGGAAGATTACCAGCATTTTAAAATTTTGCACTAAAAAGCCAAATGAACTGTAGTTTTTTTGTGATCTGGTAACTAGCAGTGTGCTAAAAGAATATGTCACAAAATCAGCCTATGTAAGAAGCTTGATACTATTTCTATAAATTCTGCATTAAAGAAGTACATTATTGTTCATGTAAAAGCAGAGCGTGCTGAGTGCTTGCTGGTTTTTATTAATGTATTTTGCAGATCAGTTCTCTGATCTGATGTACTCTCCTGTTCCATCATCAGCTGCAGAGGCAGAGCTTAGGAGGCAGCACAGGGCAGGACAGAGGATGGGAAGTCCTGCGCACACCAGTCCTTGTCCTCGCCCGCCTCTCTTGTGAGGGAGGTAGCAGGGACTTGGAGAACTCCACTGCTGAGTAAGTTGTGGTCAGAACAGTTTTGAGACAGTGTCATATGATACATAAAATACAAACTACTCTGTCGGTGTAAACCACTGAGAGTTAATTAATCTATCACAGCAGAGATCTAGATCTGCTTAGCTGTGTTTTATTCCTGCATTGTCTGAATGCTTTCTAGTACTGGGGTAACCTGTCTAGCATCTTTCAGGTTTATCTTTGTCCCATCCTCTCCCTGAGGGGAAAACTCTGCGCACTGCGAAGTTTCCATTCTAGTATTTTTAAAAATATATCTGTATATGGTGCCACTCCTTTGCATTATGAAAGGCAACACTGGAAGAGCTTGAGGGGAAGGTTCCAGGATGATAATTAGTTTCTAGAATATGCTTTTTAATGTATATCACTAAAGCAAGAATGTTACTATTAAGTTTGTTATTTAAAAACAAAACAAAACAAAAACCCCCAGCACCAAACCACAAAATATAGAGAAGCTTAGCTTTTAAATATTACGTTATACTTACTGTTGTTTATTAGGCCTTATTTTGAGAGCAATTTCATGTTATATTTACAAAGTAAAAATAAGATGTTTAGATTTCTGACCTGCCTAAAGAGAAGGCAAGATTTATAAAACTGTATGAAATGACTTGTTGATAGAAAGTAGTTTATAAAGTAGACTAATGATTAGCAATCATTTTCCTCCAGCGTTGCCCAAGAGCCAAGAGTACTTTATCAAAAGCCAAAGTGTTCTAAGTCAGAAAAAATAGAAGATGCTTTATTATTGGAATGCCCACTGGTAAGATTACTTTTTAATAGAGCATTGTTGTACAAAAAAACCAAGTACCTTTCAGTGAAACATGTTTAGAATAGAGTGTTTGTTCCCTGTAAACTATTTTCTCAGTGTTTTTATGGAGTTAGGTCATTTAAGCTTTGCAACATGTCCATATTTATTTTGACCGAACGTTTAGAGGTATACTCTGAATTTCTCAATAGCGTATTCAAATGCTTTTTTGTGAGCTTTCATGGAAGATTTTAAAAACAGTGCCTTTATGCTTATGCAACAAATTCTAATTCCTTACAACATATATTGTTTCATTTTTTCCTTATTTTCTGATTAGCAAGGGCAGTAGGTGGGAGTTTTAGTTTTTACCAGTTCTATTGACATAAAAAAAAAAAAAGGCAGATAAACTGAAGACTCATTAAAGCAACTCTGCCCAAAAGCTGTTCTGCTGTTTCTAGCTAATAGATGATATAATCTCCGTCCTCCTTGAGGAGTTTTTCTCTAATCCGCTGTCCACAGAGTTTAGGAATATTAGCCCCATCCTTGAGGTGCCTAAAAATAAAGCAGTGTGAATACCATTCTTAGCAGTTACTGTTGAGTTACCACAGGATGCCTTATTCTGCAATACTTAAACAATTGTCTCTTCAAGACTGGTATCAGATTGATAAGCAGTTATACTTCATTTGTGCAAGGCAAAGAAGTTTTAAAAGGTGACTTTTCTAGAAAAGGTAACTGCCTTGCAAAACGTGTGATAACAGATTATTTATGTGATAGCTGACTATTCAGCACAGACATGAGTTTAGAGATCCTGGTGTGATTAGCAAGAAGCTTTCCACCTTTAGTTTTTGAGGAATGTATATTAACTTCTGTTTTCTTGTTACTGTGTCAAAATGTTATGTATCCTGGTACAAACTTTGTTTTCTGATAACCTTTTGTTATGTAGGGGGAAGTGCTACCAAGTGCATCAGACTATAAATCTTCCCTGATAGTCTTGACAGTGCAGAACTGGCTTCTACGTCTCTCTGCTGATAGTGGAGAAATACTGGAAAAAATATACCTTGCCGGTTCCTGTTGCAAATTCAGGTATTGAACATTGACTAGCCTTTTTATAATATAACAATCATTAGTACTATATTGGAGAAAGGGAATCATGTTTAGTTTAGTACTATCCTATGGCTGACTTCAGGTTTGTTAGGCTAGCATATTACCTGGAGTATTGTTCCTGCAGGCTGTTTTCTATAGAAGAATTTCAGCAGCTTAAGCATTATGGTCTCAAATTTGTTATCAAGTTCCACAAAAGACAGAAAAACTAGGTTACTCTTGGCTTTTCTCTGACAACTTTACTGCAAGAGCAACATACCAGGAGAGGACCTTTAAGAGCTGTAGAACAAGCCATTTTTAACTTGCAAGCATTCATCTCCATAGGATGGCCATTTTGCTCTTTAAAAGCAGAGCAGTTACTGCTTCTGGTAAACTGCATCTTTTTTTTTTGGTTCTCAGAATAAATTATTTCCTTTAGGCTGAAGGATAAGGAAGCAGTGATTCACAAAAGGAAGGAGAAAAAATTAAGATAGTGAGTGTTCATACTTTCAGAGTTTTTCTCACAATTCTGTATGGAATAGGCCATTCCTAGTTCCATGGGTTTTGCATTATTGCAAACAGTAAACATCTCAGGCATCTGCCCCAAATCAGATACTGAACAGTTTGCCTGGACACAGGGATCTGCCTAGTTATAGTAGGTTCTATTTTATTTCAAATAATGTGTTTATTATTAAATGGTTTTTAAATTATTAAGATAGGCCTTTCTTGTCACAAACAGATATCTGAGCTGGGATACTCCTCAAGAGGTACTGGTTGTAAAGTCAGCTCAAAACAAGCTCCCTGCAGCAGCACAACAGGTAAGTTTGTTGAAAAAATCTGTCATTCTTAAATTTTTGCAAAATCAATTTTTAAAAAATTACAAGGACAGCAATGGAGACATAATGCTTTGTTATTGTGGTAGAAGATGAAGATATCCTACTGTTAATAAATGCCTCAAGTATAATAACTATATTCAGTATTGTTATTCCTTCCCAGGCAGATATCCAACAGTCTGTATTGTTCTATCTTGCTGTATTCCAAGTTTTGCCTCTGTCATTCATCGGAATGCTAGAAATAAACAAAAAGGTAAGTTAATTCTTCTATTAATTGTGAGCTCTACTGTAGCTGTATGAGAGGCATGGTTTAGACAGTTGTCCCAGAATTTCAGAAGTCATACTTACAGCTTATAAAAGCGTAGTGCCCTGAAACATTAATTAGCAGTAGTATTGTTCTTGTTTCTGATAGGAATTGGGGGGAAGGTTCTTAATTTGAATGACCAGAAGAGAAAATACAAATGCATTCTGTTATTGTGTTACTCTTTGACATGTAGAAGGACTTTAGCCTTTATTTATAGTAATCATAAGAATTAGGGAATCCTAAACTGTTTGTAGACTTCATCCCTTTAAAGAAAGATGGATGTGCCTTTGACCCACTCCTAGTTATAGTCTATGATTTTTATATGCAGTTACAAATGTTTCAAACTTGTATTATCATTGATATTGAATGGCAAAATGTAAATATGTGTCTTGCTTTATCAATCAAGAGCAAACAACCTTTCTGAGGTCAGTTTGTGACCTCTAGGTAAGAGTGTATACCTCAAGCCAGATGGCAAGTTTTACTGTTCTGTTGAAAAAACATGTCTATTTTAAGTCAAGAGAGCTCTGGATACACCTTATAAATGGAGCAGTACAAACATGCAAATTCTGTCTTCAAAGCTGTATGAGCTACGGTCTCATTTGGAGTCCAGAGCTACTAGTGCATTTTAGCTGGTGCTGGGTTGGGTTGAGGTTGTAATTGAGATTGGGCTGGCAAGTGGAGGAGTGGGGTTAAGCCTTTTTCATTTGTGCCCATGAAAGTTTAGGGGCACTGTGTGTTGTTCCATTCAAAATTAGTACTTAGGCCTGGAAAAAACAGTTGTTACCAGTATCAAAGGTATTCTTAATCTGGTTAAGAATGGCATAGTAGGCAAAATGTCTAAAAGAATATTTCTTCAGTTGGGCCTGTACTGAGTACTCATCAGAGTAATTGTTACAGCTAGGAATAACGTCAGGGCAGAATTTGCAATCTGCTATCTCAGCAGAGGAAGCAACTAGTGAAGGCAATGCCAAACCTGATACAGATCTATGGAATGTAACTGTTAGATTAGAGTTAGGATTGAGGTTACTGCTCAAGACTGCTGAGTGCACCTAATGCATCGGCTTTACTGAGATGGGACACCACAATAAATTCTGAGTTCAGACTAGCTAAGGTCTCGAGGATAGAAAGGAGAGTTAAGGGTTGGAAGACTAATTATTAGAGTTTCTGTGTGGAAGACACTGCAAATGTATTGAGAAAGAGCCATAAGACTAAATAAAAGGCAAGGTCTCAGGAGTGAATATATCTTTTGGGACCAAACTGATCACAAGATCATTGATAGTGTTTAGATTTAGGAGTATTACAGCATTTGGGTTTCTTTTATTTTAATTGTTTTTAAGCCTGTTTTAACCCTTTTTAATTGCTTTTTCACATATGATTCAGATTGAATAAATGAAAACTACATTTCCAAGCATCTCTATTAAAAAAAAATTAAAACTTCACATGTTGTTATTCACTGAATACTAGGAAATTAGTCTGTTGGGTTTTTCTCAGTGGAGATGTGTTAAGTGGTGGCACAAATCAATGCTACATAATTGTTAAAACGGTAAGTCTGCTTCTCATGTATGTGCCTTAATTTGGATTCAGAGAGGATCCTGTATGCTGGGACAGCTGGATAATGTAGTCATAGTACAGCTGTGCACAATCATAGAGCCATGATTAGACTAGTATTTTAGCCTGGTGATGAAGAAAGAACAGAAGATCTGAAATCAGTACTTTTAGATTGAGTTGTTAGCTTTGCTAACATTCCTGTGGGATGCTGGGTAATGTAATCTATTAATGTATTATAATAACTATCTAACATGATATGAAGATATACTGAGAATTCATAGAGAATGAATCTGCTTGCATAATATGACTAATCTAACCTCAAGATTTTGCAGTGCAAAGTATTACAGAAACTCATGAGAAGAGATGAGTTACAGAAAACTTAATGAATCTAAAACACTGATCATAGGGTTTGGTCAGAATAAAAAATTAAAGCGCTTGCAAAATTAGGAACATAATATCAGTCTTGTGCATTGCCTCTCAATTATTTCTTCCCTAATAGAGTATTTTTCTTCTTTTTTTCCCCAGATATTTGGTAATAGTGTGACAGATGTTGCTGTTTCTAATGGAATCCTGATTGTAATGCATAGCATGGGTCTGGTCAGGCTCTATAACTTCCAGGCCATTTCTGAACAGGTAATGAAACACTAAATTTTTCATACAGTCCATGCTATTTTGGGGCAGCAAATCATAAATATTCATGTAATGCCACATAGGTACATGGGGCTTGTGTCAAAGGATAGAGTTCTTGCCTAAATCTGTTTACAGTCAGAAGATGCAAATGGGTACACTATCAGAAAATTCTACCCACACCAGTTAGAGGTGGCAAAACATAAGAGATAGAGGGGCAGACAGGAACTTCAGTGCATATAGAAAGGAGCTATGTAAATGCTAGACCAGAATGTGCTCTTCTTTACACACCTAGTCAGTAGTTACAGATGAGTGTTAAGGCTAGAACCTGCTGGGCATGGAAGACTGATCCGAAACAGAACTGCAGTGAGACTCTTGAGTTTATATTCTTCCAGTCAAAAATCAAACATTAATTAAAAAATAAGACTTATAGCGGTATCTAACAAGATAAAGAATCCACTAGTAACAGAGCAGTAAAACTAAACAGCAAGTAAATATGCATCAGTAAAGCTAAATTGTTCTGTGTTATTTTAGTTCATGGAACAACCATTTGATTTGGGACATGAATTCAACTGGAATGGTCAAGTGGGAGTTGTAGGAAAGTATCCATTTGGTCTTCCATGTAACATTAAAATAACAGGTATTTATTATCTTTTTATTATCTTGGCTGGTGGCTTTTATGGATTTCACACCAAGAAAAAACATTAAAATTACTGTGCTCATATTGCGCTGTAGCTATATTTCTGGATTTACGTTATAGTAAAAATGTGCTTTGCTTTACTTCTAATTACAATAATTAATTACACAGGGCTTATCTAGAAAACTAGTACAGCAACTAAGCTATTTGGAAAACTTCATAAGCAACACATGAAGTGGAAACCCCTGCCTTATTTCTGAGATACAACTGCTCTTGGGAAAGAGGACAGCTGTTAGTAACCCCCAGAAACAGTATACGGTATGCAAGCAAAAGATGTGAGAACGTTTAATCTAACTTGCAGAGAAAATTCAAGGAGACCAAATGCAATTTGTCTGAATTGCATTTTGATAATTCTTAGTTGTCAGAAATGTGCCAGTTTATAAAAAAATAATTCCTGAAGAGAGAACAAATTATCTATTAAAAAGAATTCTTATGCCTCAAATCATTCACTTACAAATGTTCTGCTTTATGTAATGGCTTTCATTTCTCTGAAGCCAAACAATCATTTCTGTTCGTGCATTTGAGATTAGAATTTGGTGCTAAGAATCACAGAGTGTTAGAGATTGGAAGGGACCTCGAAAGATCATCTAGTCCAATCCCCCTGCCGGAGCAGGAACACCTAGATCAGATCACACAGGAACGCATCCAGGCGGGTTTTGAATGTCTCCAGAGAAGGAGACTCCACAACCTCTCTGGGCAGCCTGTTCCAGTGCTCTGTCACCCTCACTGTAAAGAAGTTTTTTCTCATATTCAGGTGGAACCTTCTATGTTCCATCTTGAACCCATTGCCCCTTGTCCTATCACTGGATGTCACAGAGAAGAGCCTGGCTCCATCCTCCTGACACTTACCCTTTACATATTTATAAACATTGATTAGGTCACCCCTCAGTCTCCTCTTTTCCAGGCTAAAGAGACCCAGCTCCCTCAGCCTTTCCTCGTAAGGGAGATGCTCCATTCCCTTCATCATCTTTGTGGCTCTGCGCTGGACTCTCTCCAGCAGTTCCCTGTCCCTCTTGAACTGAGGGGCCCAGAACTTATTGAATTAACGAAGCCTGAGGCTCTCTTTGAAACTTTTTTTTACTTTAAAAATACATTCTCACAAGCTCACACTTGAGGCACTTAAGAAAAAATAGTAGGTTTCACCATCAAATAACGCCTTTATTTCTTTAATTTTGAATGTTACATTATTAAATGGTTTTTACAGGTGACCATCCACACTAAAAATACTTTTGATCTTTACGTTCACAATGTCAGATAACAACAGGCAAACCAAAGCAGATTTACATAAACCTGAGGAAATACCCAAAGATATAGAGTTACATAGTGAAGGCTTTCAGTTATAATGCAATGTTTTATCAAAACAAAGGAATAGGCTGCTATAATTGATGTCTCAGGTTCTGCAAAGGGAAATTTCTCTTAATTTTCCTCTCTGAGTCTGCAAAACGACAATTTAATGTTAGGGGCCCTGAGGTAAACATGCTGTGGGAGCTTTAATAGGAAGCCTGTACCAGTTTGTTCTCATGTCTTGTAGTTTTTAGTTTTGAGATTTAAAACCAATGTACTGGAGAAAACATTTTTGTTCTTCAATCGTATTCAAGAATTTGTGGTTAAGAAGTTTTGAACTCATGACAGACATTTGCCATGGCTGTTCTTTGCAGATAGTTGCATTCCTGTGGTGTTTGAGCTGTTTTCTTTTAAGGATGAGATAGCCACTGACTGTTCAATGTCATGTAATGTTTCAGTGAGCGAGATTTTAACAGTTTCAGAGTTTAAGCTTGTATTTACTATAATTCAACTATGTGTCATTTTCCTGCTTATTTAGGCCTAGCCTCCCTACAGAAATTGACTGAAGGGATGTCAGTTCTTACAGTGCTGTTTTTGTGGTGTGTTAGATACCCGAGAGGAAGTGATCAAAACTTACAAGCTATCTTGTACCTACCATGTCATTTACAGCTATTGACTGGTAAGGAATCAGATTTTGGTCACAGTGGAAGGAATGGAAAGGTACCTATAAATCTTCACAATGGCACTTTCTCAGAGGTCCAGAACTTAAAACTGTAATTTGATTTCTTAATAGAAGATACAGTAATTTCATTTAAAAAAACAGAGAGGAAGATACTTTGCTGAGATTTTTTTTTTAACATTTAGAACAAATACTTGTTGGTCCTGCCAGGAACAACTTTATGGCTTCATGTTTAGATGAGGCTGGAGAGTTTTAAAGAAGTGAACAAGGAAGCTCAACTGGAGACAGAAAACTGGCAGTGCTAGGGAAAGGACTTACAAACAATGAGGATAGGAAGTGTTGAGCAACAAGAGCAAGTCACACATAGCAGGAAAAGAGGGAGTTAAGGCAGCTGAGTCACGCTATCACAGTGGTTTGGGTGGCAAATCTTTGCCAAAGGAACATAAAAAGAAAGGCATATTTTATCAGCAGCCTGTACTGCTTAGGATTGATATCTTATTGAAACACATTTAAATCTGTCATTTAATCCATCTACCAGAATTTTTGAGGAGGCTTGCTATGTATGCTTTATTTAAAAAGAAAAAGTTGATAGGGTAAAATGGTAACAAATTTTCTTGACTCGTTTTTAATTTTCTGACATATTTTAATATCTGCAGGTTCTCTGCTTATGCCTCCATCTTCATCATTTTCTGTGTTTTCAGCAGATGCCTCGGTTTCTATAACCTGTACTTTGTTATATCTTGCACAGAGTGTCCCATTTCCTATGTGGTTAGTACAAAAGACAACTAGAAGACAGACACTTTCCAGCTTAGGAAAGACTTCATTTCCATGGGCAGTGAACTAATTCCTTTCAATCTAAATGGCTAAGTTTTTGGAAATATGAATGAAGGAAAAAGAGAGAAGCACTATGTAAACATAACTTCTGATGTCATGTGACATCTTAGCACCATTGGCTAGGATCTGGATAACTATCTAGACTATGCAGGACAAGAACAAGTCAAAGTTTGGATGAGACCTTTGGGACACAGAAGTCCAGATAAGAACCTTGTTCTCCGCACAGTGATTCGGCTTGGGTTTTTATATTCTGCCTGTTTAAATGCCCCTTGCAATAGCGGATTTTCTCCACATTTTGTCATTTTTTTTCCAGCACTTCTCTGTACTGTTAGATAGAGCTGATCTTCAGCTAAAATTGGTTCAGTTATAGCAGTTGTAGAAATTACTTTTATTTAGCTAGTTGGCAGATGTTTTAAAGCTCCATGCAGTCCATTTTGTTCAAAGGTGCTGCTCTCATTTAGTACACAGAAGACTTGCAAGAATGGCATATTACAGCTGTATAATTTATCCCAACTGAACTGAAGATTAGATACCTTCTGCTATTAATTACAAAAATTCCTAGATTTTTATTGATTTTTATGAACTCAGCTAGAGATTGTGTTCTTTGTGGTCCACATTATTTTGTTGTATTATGCAAAACGAGAAGGAATATTCAGATTCAGGTATCTTTCTGCATTTAATTCTGTTATTTGACATTGCTGCTGTTAGTCTGTTTCCAACTATTTATCACTATTTTTCACAAGAGAATACTGACCCTTTTGATATGTTCTTTGGTCTGTTCATATGTATTCCTCTCTCATTCTCATGAGCTGGATTAATTTTAATTGCTTGCTGTGTCTTTGCTTATCCAGCTCATTTGTAGTGAAGTAAGTCAAAGGTATCAGAAGAGCAGTTCAGCATGAAGATCTGACAAGGCAGTAACCTTCCACAGGGAAATACAGATGTGTGCCTGGATGCTAGGTGAGGTAGCATAGCTGGTGCTAGAAAAAAGATCACAGCCAATGTATTTCCACCAGTTTTCAAAAGATCTGAAGAATTAATAGCTTTATTGGAATTTAGAATTGTAAGGATCAAGGGAATCATGATTGTTCTGCTACTAATGGTATTAACATTACTGAATATTTGCAGATACCCCACCTTTGCTATTTGAAGCATCTTCTCTGGAGAATGCATTTCAAATTGGAGGTTACCCTTGGCATTATATCATCACACCTAACAAGAAAAAACACAGAGGAGTCTTCCATATTTGTTCTCTAAAAGACAATGCTTTGGTAATATATTTAGCTAGCAGCCTCTCTGAAATGAATGTATATCACTTTTGTCTTCATCTCTTCTTCTGAGTAATGCTCGAGGTAACAATACCCTTTTTTTCCAGTGCAGTGTTCTTACAGGGATCACCCCACAGTGTAACATGTGCTATCCATGGAGTCATGTAAAATGTTATCTTGTGAATTAGTACTGCTTCGATACTTGCTTCATTCCAATATATTCGTACTACTGTCAGTGCTACAGAGCACTGTATTCTCGGCTTAAAAGTTAAGAAATCTCATTACTTGATTCCTTGCATGGTAACATCTTAATGCTCTTCTGACTAGTCAACCTACCAAATGACATGACTAAAGAAACATTTTAAGTTTTAAGAAATTGCAGAATAAATTTCCTTAATATTTGTAGTTTATCCCTGATTTGTACCTTCTCTCTCTCTCTCCCTAGAAAGATTTTATTACTCAGTTTAATCCAGCATTCCTAATTATTTTTGTTTATGTACTATTAATCGTATATTCTTTTGCATGATCTTTCCATCTCAGCTTTTATTTTGGATTTGGATTTGACCAGAAGATACCTCTGTAATACAAGCAGCTTCTAGGCCTGTTAGTTCAGGGTTCTTCACTAAAAAACTTCTCACTGGTAAATGTCCTCATCTCTTTTAGTATCCTGATCAAATCAATTATCCCCCTCCTCTCCATTATTTTCAAAACAGATCTTTCATAACCATAGCTGAAGATCAATTTTTATTCAAAGGGACTTGTACAATCCTTTCTCACATAGTTTCTTCTGTGTGGGTTCATACATTTGAAATTTTGAATTATCAGGGTCAGCTAAATTTAACAACAAAAAGCCACTGCCAAAATCTCGAGATTTTGGCCAGCTTGCAGATGAAGTCACAAGCTATCCCAGGCTTACGCGCTCCACAAATATTTGCATGAAAGAGACTGAACCTGAGGTCTGAAGCTCAAGTCAAAGTTGTCCTAATGCTTTTCTCATGTGTTGACACATCTCATGTCTTTGACACTCAAATTGCTGGAATTGTTGAAGTGTTTGCAGAGTGTAGGCTAGATCTTCATTTTGTTTCGATTCAGGAGAGGTAGGACCGTATATAGCTGTGGTACAAGGTCATTGCTTATTGCATAATAAAAAAGTTAAAACTGTTTCATGGAATATCTTGAGAATTGGAACGGAGTCTGTTGTTGTTGTTCTTGTTCCACTGCTGTCCTCTCTGATCATGATTAGGAGGAACACTTAAAAACCTTCAGAGGTATGTGGAGAAGAGCTCGGTATTTCCTCTTTAATTAGGTCTGTGAGACTTTCAAAATACTAATATTCTAAGCTTTCCCTTCCTTCTTCAGGCAAAAAATGGCATACAGGATATGAAATGCTGTTCACTAGAGCCTGATTGGATATATTTCCATCCAGATATGTCAGGTAGAATAATCCACGTGGGACCAGACTTGGTGAAGTATGAGCCTTTTTTTCTCAAATCTTGTTTTCATTAGAGGAAAAGTTGCATAACTGCATAAATTCAGTAGTTTGACAATTTGCAGGCCAAAACACTCATCAAGCCCTAGAAACTGTGAAATTTATTAATTTGTCAGAATCAGAAGTTCTGGTAGAAACATCTGCAGTTTTCTACATGTTTAATATGGGCACTGGCAGGCAACGCTAGATTTTGATATGAAAAATCTTCAAGGACCACTGTGTTAACATTTCACTGATTAACATAAATTACAAAAATAATTTGTTTCTATTCCAGTTATTCCTGATGTTTTAATATACCTGATTTTTTAAAATTATAAATACAGAAGTGTTGTACAGTACGTGGATTAGAATACATTACTTGTTTTGTAATTTCTGTTTCTTTTGTAGAGTCTTGAAGCTTAAGGAAGTTAAAAATAATACAGATCAGATGGAGATAGCAGAAGATTTTACAATTGTGGCCAACAGAGAAAACTCTGTGAGTTTAGTATCCAAGATCACAATGTATGATTTTGATCCAGTACACAGGCATTTTGTGTGTATGAATAATCACTGTGTTTTATGGGCTTAATTCAGGGTTTATTGAAAGACATTCCATGTCTTCATTGGACTTTAAGCTGTATGAAAAAAAATTTGAAAACAATAGCACTTTCAGGAACTTTCTGAAACCTCCAGTCTTTTCTTTAGTTTTCAGCATTCTTTATGGTCTGCAGTATGACAATGTATCACTGATATCAAACATACTTAAAAGATGGTGACAGATTTCCTTCAAAAGAATGTGCCATCAAGTGATAATTGTGTGCATCTCTAGTGCTGAGGTAAGCTGACCATACAAATGCTAGAAATGAAAAGTCTCTTCTAACTTAGGGATAAGTCTTCATAAGACAACAAAGACAATACATTGCTTCCAAAAGTCTGTTTCTTTTCCTGGCCATGCACATCAGTCACTCCCTTGTGACAGGTTTGGCGTTCATCTAAGCCTTGGTGAGCCAAATCAGTGCACTAAAATAATAGAATCATAACCCAGCAGAAAAGGTGAGTTCTCTTCTGCTTGCTTGGTGAGCTGAACTGGAACAGAAGAGAGCTGAATCATCAGTTGGTCAGAAGAGTGCAGAAAGGTAGAACCAAGTGGCAAGAGGATGATCTGAACCTCCTGGTAGAATTGAGCAGTTAAATCACCATGGTTGTTTCATGAAGTCTTCTGTGACAGAAAATCATAAGGACAATCTAAATGTCAGAAAGATTAAGGAGCACACTCATGAACAAAATTTTTTGGCAGTGCCTGGAACTGTCATTTTGCTTCAGCATAAAAAGTTATGTCTTACATAAAAGCAAGTTTTTATAGTTTCAGTACTGTAAAGTCCCTGGAAATCAGTGATATTAATTTTGAAGCTTCTGCAGAAGAAAAGTGTGTGTATTAAAAATCTACACTAACTCAGGAATAATATTTCCTTTGAATTCAGGAAGGAATCTTTGTCATCTAATGACTTGCCATAAATTTTTTTTAGGGTTTTTTTAGATAACTTCTGTTGCAAAAAGAGCAAAGAAGTATGACTTCTAATCCTGTCTGTGCTGTCCCTTCTCCTTTTGACTTCCATTAAGACACTGATACCCCAGTTTTGAATGTGGTGTTAGTGAAGCCCAGTGGAAGCAACTGTGGTGGTTTGAGATGCCACTTTCCCCGTCTTCTGGAAGTAAGAGTTTAAAAAACAAATTGGTTGTTACTTAGTTGTCTTAATTCTCATTCCAGCATCTTGGCTTCAGTCACTTCTGTTCTAAATATTATGGTAGCTGAGAACCTTTGCCACCTCTACAGGACTGAGAACCTCTGAATATGAGTAAACATCAGTAATATCTCCACTAAAGCCACCAAATTCATGAGCCCTCATAAAGAAGAGATAGCAGCACTAAGGCTATGCATAGCTAATGAGTAAAACAAGATCTAAGAGATTAGAACAAGGTCAGAAAGCAAGAGACATGAAATAGATACACTGTCAAATAGATAGGAAGAAACTAAAATGCTATGAAGTCTAAAGGCACTCTTTTCTTTTTCTCCGAAGGTAAACAATGCTGTTACTGTAACAGCTTCTGGTCGAGTGGTGAAAAAGCGTTTTAACTTGCTGGATGATGACCCAGAACAAGAGGTAACTGATGTAGTGAGTAAGAGCAGTTCGTGGATTATTTAAGATGTTTAGCTAGCCAGAAGTCATTCTTGTTTCAGGTGCAGTGGCTGTAACCATTAGCTGTGTTAATTTTTTTGATTTCTTTATTCCTCTTCTGTGGCTGTCTTTGTTTTCTCAACTTACAATTACTTAATTTCCCCTTTCTGTCTGTCGTCTTTTCTCCATGGTTGACATTTGTGCTTTGGATAGTCTCTTTCTTTTAAGAAAGACCTTATGCCCCATGATACCATTATAACCGTATGTGACTTCAGTGGCACAGAAATAAGATGTTAATGTGACGAACTGTTACTCTCGTCTCCATTCAAACATCTCCTTTAAACATTTCTTATAAAGCATTTCATGAAATGAAAGAAACATAATTTTTTTTCTCTGCTTTAGGTTCCTGTAGTCTTTGATATAGTATCTTTAAATCATATTTTTTTTCTCCCAATTTCTTTGATTAGATTGCAGGATAAGGTATTTAACACTTTTCCTTTAAGTAACTGCTTCTTGAGAGTGAAAACACTACATGCCTTGGTGTTGAGTCTTCAAGACAGTATGAAGAATAATTTTTAGCTCTCTATCTAGAGCTGGAGCTGTAATTTACATAAGTACAACAGTTAAAATTCATCAGTTTCTGGCAGTCATTTCTATTCTTTTTTATGAGGAAATAGATTTTTACTATGGTAAAAATACAGGACAGTCTAATATAACCCTTAAGGTCTGCAGTTCGTTTCTATCCACTTTTTTTTTTTCCTAATCATAATAAAAATTAAATTCTGCACACTATTTTTTTTTTCCTGCTCTTACACTTTATTTCTGATTCCAGTAGATATTTTTCCATTATGGAAGAAAAAGACTGGCTTGAATTTAAAGGGTATGTTACCACCTTCATGACAGTGAGATAGAGGCAATTAAGGCAGTTCACAATCTTCACCTTTGGTCTCAGTTCATCGCTGTCACATATTCTGTGGAGCGAGAGAGAGCTCTGAACAGAACATACAGGTGTTCATGTGAATGGAATTACCCAGCATACCTATCCCCTCAAAACCAGTAATAGTTTTAAGCTATACTGTCTCTAACATGTCTGCTTTAAGAGAGTGCATGGAGTCTAAATATGTTTCTTCTGCCACTTTCATAGTACTTTTTTCTTTTTCCTGTGTGACATATATAAAAATACATCTACTTGCACATTGTTCATAACATCACTTTCTTCTCTCCTGTCTTAACAAATTTTGATGAAATACATTGGACAACTTGTGTTGGGAAAGATGCCTGTTGGGTATCAGGCTGGAAAGTTTTCTTTATCAGACCAGAAGACTTAAGAACTATAATTTTTCCACTTCTGCTTTCACCTGAAAGAAAAAGAGCTACGCAATTTAGGTAGGGGCGAGTGTGAATTTATGTTTGGTTTGTAAACTTGAGGTTTTGTTTTTCCTAAGACATTCAAAATTGTGGACTATGAAGATGAACTGGATTTGTTATCCACTGTGGCAGTTACTCAAATAGGAGCTGATGGAAGAGCTCACCTTGACTTTCACTGTAATGAACATGGGATTCTACTTAAGAGTATTCCATTATTGGAGTCCTGGGATGTGGTGAGTGGAATTCCTGTCTTTTGTTTACCCTAACACTTCCCTATACCCATTTACCATTGTTCAGATTTGAAGCAGATACATAAATAGTGTTGCCAAGTGCTATGGATGAGATTTGTACAAAATAATAATTGTAACTCAAAAATTTTAAGTATTACATCAGACAGTTCATTCATCTGAAAATCTCCGTGATTTGAAATTAAGATTTTTGTTGTTGTTGTTGGTTGATTCATTTGGGGTTTTTTGGCTGGGGGAGGGGTTGTCCTTGGGTATTTTTGATGTGTTTCTCAACCTGAATACTTGCTCTCTGGATAGTTACATCAGCTTAACTTTACAACTTGTAAATAGTCTCACTAGCTTAACTTGAACATGGCTAGAATGAAGCATGGACCTCACTGTGTGTATATTTGGAGAGATGGAATGGGCTGTTCATACAGTCCAAGTTTAGGTGGACATCCAACTTAGATGATCTGAAATATTCAGCACTTTTGGCACCTCTTTTATCATTGACTGTGTAGGCAATTTAGTATTTTAAATCAGATGCTCTGAATTGCACTTAGATTCCTAAAATAGGCATGTGGGAAACCTCTCAAAATTTTTAAATTCTGTCCTTTATCTGGAAGAGCAGTCTGCGTGTATCCACACAAAATCCCTGTCTGATCATGGAGATCACCAATGTTAAATATATTTTGTTCTCCAAGGAAAATGGTGTGAGTATTGCCAAGTCATGGAAATGGAGACTGCAATCAGAATTTTTTTTTTTCTTATTTCAGACTTACAGTCATGAAGTTTACTTTGACAAAGACCTTGTATTACATATAGAACAGAAGCCTAACAGGAGGTTCAGTTGTTACGTTTACCAAATGGTTTGTGATACTGCAAAAGATGACGAATGTTCAAGCCATGAAAAACCAGAAAGAATGTTTTGTAAAAAAGGAGGGAGAATTTTTGAATTTATTTGAGACATAAACAACAACTACAGAGACTTAAATTTGGATGTTATTCAAGGACTTCATACATATGACCTAGTCAACTACTGTTTTTTTTGGGCAGGATTTAATGTTAAAATTTTGTACTACTACATGAGATTTTATTTCTTTTTTCTCTGTAATATTGTACACTTGTCTGTAGCCCATAATGGCTTTTCATGTATTCACCAGTTCATCATTAATGGTAGATGCAGCATTTATTGCTCCTCTTCACCAATTGGATTGAAGTACTGGACATCAAGTAGAAAGAAGTGGACTTACTGATTATCTACCATCTGCTGCCATCTGTCTTATGTAGTTCTACCTATGCAACCTTAATACAGACTGTTAATAAAACAAACTGTATAGGGTAAATTTTGTATGTAGTATGAAAATGGCAGAGTTGCCATTAAACCACTTAAACAAAACCAACAGAAGGATTTTGTCTGAGAAATAAAATCACTCAGATTTGTGGTTGTGTTTGTTTTGGTTTAAAGAGAAGTATGAATAAATTATGTATTTTTACTGCCTCTGTTATGTATCTTTATTTATTTATTGTTTATATATGCACATATATTTAAAAGAACAAGCAATTCTCTGGTTCTCCCTGTGTCAAGGGTAAGGAGTTGTTCAGTCTGAGACAAAGTTTCCAGATGCTTAGCTGGATCACTGTGTGTAGCCCGTCTGATGCATGGAAGTTCCATGTGGTATATTCAGATTCAGCAAAATGCAAACTTTCATTTTAAATTAAAAAGAATCCACAACAACAAAACACAGGCTGTAGGCTTCATGGTGATAAAGAGTGTTTCCAATGCAAGACAAAGATGGAGGGATCACCAACATCTTTCTCACTACCACCACCATTATCATGAGTATGGTAATTCTAAACCCAAATATTTCTTCAGCAGTGAAATGCTCTAGAAGAATTATAAAAACTACCTATTGTGAGTTTTTGTAAAAAGTGTAATGCAAAAGAAAAAGTGAAATACAATTGGGGAAAGAAAAAACAACACAAAAAGGAGATCTGTTGTAATAAAACAACAGTAGAAATAACGAGTAGCAGCAACACCCTACCTCCACCCTAGCTTCAAGCTTCACTTAGTATCCAGCAAAGAGCACCTGACCATTGTCTGCTATTATATAAGTAACTATATAAGTAAGATATGAGGGTAAAAACTAATATGAATCTGTACTCAGGCAGAAGATCCAACTCTTAAGCAGATATTGATATTTTATGTCCATTTCTGTTTGAATCATTAAAGCAGTTCCTTCTGGAGCAAGACATTTAAACAACACTGTATGTTACATAGTGCAAGTACTGCTCTTCAAGAGTTTGCTATACTTTCCAGTGACTGTTACTTTTAAGTTATTGTAGACTTTTGCAGTGATATTCTGTTAAATCAACAATTGTACACCAGTATACATCTTTTGAAAAATGCACCAATTTGTAATCACCAGAAGGCAGCCCAGACTTGGATGAAGAAGATCACAGCCTTCATGTGAGAAATTCTGTCACTCTAAATGCACAATATGTTGCTGCACTACAGATAATGGCAGATGTTCTGTCCTGGAAGGTCACACATAGACATTTTTATTCAGAAACAGAAGAGACGTTTCTGTTTAATTTAAAACACCGTGAAAGCTATTTAAGAACAGAGAATCCAGAATGGCTGGCCCTGAATGCTTCTAACGAGTGTATTCACAACCCTGCTTGTGAAGGGGCTGGGACACACCAGAGAAGCAGAATCACTAAATGCTTATGGGTTGTGCTTTTCAAGCTGTGAACAGCAGTGTTCCCTTCTGTGCCTATGCAGAGCCCCAGAAAATTCTAAAAATAAACTATTCGAACAGGAGGAAAATCCTGACCACAAACCAGTAGTTTTTAACATCATTGTTAAAAATAACCCTGTATCTGAACCAGACACAAATACCCACATGCTTGGTGGCAACCCACCTGAATCAACAGCTTTAATTTACAGTTAAATTTTGAAACAAATCCCATCCAGAAAAAGGTATTAGTTCACTTTGCCAGGAGATTTTATATGTAAGCATTTTTTGGTAACTGTTGCTGGCAGAGCTGTACTATTATGCAGCATCAAATTGATACAAAATTTGAATAAATGTCTTAGATCTGACCTGTAGACCTACAGTTTGATGTCCATTTGTGATGATTCTAGAGCACTTATCTTTCTCTTTCTCATAATGTGAATTAGGTACTTGGAAATCTCTTACATAATATGAATAATTCAGTATACTAAAGAATAACAGTATTCGCAAAGTGGAGAAATTTGAGGATACTCATGTGGTTTCCATTACAGAGGGAAAAAATATTCTTGTACACATGCCCAGCATAATTAGCTCTGCAAGCACTGAAGTGTGACATTAGTACAACAAAAGAGAAACAAAATTGCTTTGAAAAAACAGAAGTAACTTCTTCAAAGGTAGTTTATTTCCCATTTATAAATTCAGAAATTAAGATGAATAAAATACAGAAGACAAAAATATTCTTCACTTTTCATAGGCAGTAGCTAACTTCTTTATGATCAGGAAACCCATTTACTGATAGCTTTCTGTTTTACAAAAGTCAGACTAAGGAAGTACTAGTGTGAAATTCCAAGTTCCCTCACTTCCTGTGTATTTCAGGGCATGCATACCACTCACACCATGGCTTCCAGAGTCTGCAGATAAAGCCTCAAGTAATTAGATCAAATGACGTCTCAAGTAACTGGACCGAGTGCATACTTTAAAAGATTGAAGCTTGAAAAGCTCATGCTTCCATTATTTTCACTAGCACTAGATGCCTATGGGAAAAAATAATATATGTATATATGTATATATATAAATGTAAAAATATATATGAACTGTTAACATGAGTAAAGATTCTAAAGTATTTTTTTCAAACATAGAATTGAAGGGATCTTAACCACTTTTGCCAATGTTCCCGATTAGGTAACTTCACCCAAACCTTCTTCATTTTCAGTGCAGAGAAATATTTCTTTATTCTTTTTTCTGGATATGTCCCATTATTTTAACAGCACTGTTTCTTGCTCATTTTAGTCTCATATTTTCTTTTATTTTCCTCTTGTTATTGAGAAAAATAGCATTTATATTACTTAACAGTAACTGAAGACTGCCAAAAACTCACCAGCAAGAAACTTTTTTTCCTTATGGAACAGGGACAACTATCCCACATGATGGAACAGCTAATGAAAAAATGAATTTGCTTCCCAGTTACGATAAAGATTGCTATTAGGAATACTTGCTAGAAAGGACACCCACATAGGGTGGCATGTAGACTGGATGTTTTCTTAAAGAACAGTTGTGAGGAACTGCTGTTAGCTGCTTAAAGCAAAGTCTCTGGGCGCTCTGCCTGCAAAAGGGAAAATGTTGGTTTGGTAAGTAAAAAGGTCATGGACTAGTGAATTTATATTGGGTTTCACCTAAGGTTGCTTGACACAAGCTTTCTGCTGTTGCCAGAATATACAAAACCTAAACAACATTAGTGAGAAAGGGGAAGAAGTAGTCAAAGTGTGGTTTTCTAAGGCTGAACCACAAAAGAATTTCTAGAACAGTGACTGCGTTCTTTCATAATTGCCAAGTATTGCCACAGTCACCAGTACAAAACCTTTAAAGAGCTTTTTTCTGGAAGATGTGTGAATTGATCTGATGTGTATGTAGCAATGCCTCACTAATAATAGCTGCATAGCATATCTGAACCTTTCATTTATCTCCATGAACTGGAGAAATGTAATTAGTCCCTGATAAAACAGAGAATTCAGGCACTTCCTGCAAAAATGTTACTTTTGAAGAATCCATGAGTAGTACAGGAATTGTCAACTAGCCCTATTCATACTTGACAAAAGTTTCTGATACACAGACTGAATAGGTTATGAGTACTAAAACAAGGAAACAAGTATTCCAGTATTTAAAATCCATGTTAGAGATATTTAAGGGAACATCTTTGTTTTGCAGCTATTTCACAATCTTAGATTTTCAGAGAGGACCACTTGAAGCTTTCTGATTGCTAGACTTGGCAGTTACACAACCATAACTTTAGTATTTATTTCTGCTTTACTGAAGTTACAGAATGATGACCAAAATAACCTTCAGGAGCTCCAAAAGAATCTTCTGTCAACACATTCTAATGTTTATAGATTAAATAAATTTAAAGTAGTCAAACTGCTTGCTTTGGAAAATAAGAGATTAAAATGAACTGCAAAAATAAGCTGGGGTTTTTTATTTTTTTAAAAAAAAAAAAGGAGCTAGATATCCTAGCAGAGTGAAGAGTTACAATGGTACAATTGTTAAGAACTGGTTGGTACAGCTTAAAAACTTGTCTAGTAAACTGGGAGTACAAATGCCTTATTCCTGCTTGAGTGCGGAAAGAATATTGTGTTCTTAGGAATATTACATTTTTAGAGAAGAGGAAGTGCACATTCTTCTCAGGAAGAGATAAAGGAAGCATGGAGGGGAAGCTAAAATTCACTGGAATTACTCTGCAGAGTGGCTCAAGAGCTCTGTCTTACCTGAGATGCTGCAGGAGAAGCAATGGACTCCACGCGATCCCTAGGATTGCAGGCTCACAGCCAGTCCTCAGTAACAGCTGCTTGCCAGAAGCCAGATGGGAAAACTATTCTGCTAACATATTTCCTTGGGTGCTCCATATTCAGACTCATACACTGGCAGTTTTCCTGATGATCTTCTGGATCTGCAGCTAGCCTCAACTTTGGGTATGTACGTGTGTTGCCTGCCTCTAACATGGAACTTGCAGCACAGCTGTGGCACGTTGCCATGCTCTGGGGCAGAGACCTGGGAAACTCCTGATGGTTGACACCACGCTCTTAAAAAAAAAGCCCTTTGGAATGCCGCTGTCCCTTCTTCCTACTGCCTGGAAGCTGGCTTCATTTTATAACTGTCTTGTAAACATTTGTTTTGCAGACTGAAGCAGCATACTTCCAGCATTTCTACTTCAACAAAATCACTCTTTCTTTTTTCTGCTTCATCATGACATCTCAGTCATCAGCTACCTGGACAGAGAGGCAAAAATGGGGTCCCAGAAGTGCTATCCCTTATCTTTATATTTCATAAATGTAGGAGGAATTTCCCAGTCAGTGCCTAGGGACTGAAAAGATAGGAAGGACTGGCTTCTCTCTATAAGA